AGAACTTGCACAATTGGTGGCTGACTAAATACTTTTTTTCCCCACTGTATGTCACTATAAATTGGCATGAAACGATGACAGGACGGTCCTGCTGTGGTGAAGTGTCTCACTTAAGCTCACACCGATGTTACATCACAGCAGCCCAATCAATGGCTTCAGTGTTTCTGAATTTCTTTAAAAGTGGAACAAAATTTGAATTAGTTTTTCTCTTTAATTCTAGATTGAATCTTTCTTTTATATGATGTCAATATATAATTATTTCCTGAAAAACAGTGTGCTGTTTCATTTGTTGCAATGCTGTTTCATTATCTTTTGCAATTTGGTTGCCAGGAAACTTCAAATGAACATCTGCATACCTTTTCCTTTAAAGGAAATATTTGCTTCTAGGATTAGATTTTCAATGGCATTTTAATGTTTAATGAGGGTGTTTTATTTTATATATTATTTTTAATTTTTGGGGGGGAAAATTAACTTCCACAACATCCAACAATACCAATAACAATAAAAATGGTTTGTTTTACTTGTTTAAAATATGACATATATATCAACTTTATGCACTTTCAAGAGCTTGTTCAACATAGTTGAATTTTCAGATTTGAACAGCATATTTCACAATCTACCTGTCGTTACAAAATTTGTAATACATTGCAGGCATAATTTTGACCAAACAACCTTCATCCCTTGTTGGTAGTATTCAAGATCAGACAATACAGGTTATAATATATGTCCTGTGTATCAAAAAAGCAGGACTCACTCTATGTATTCTTTTATTCCTCTTCTTAATTTACTTTTTTTAATTAGTTTAATTTTTTTTGAATGAAATCTGCACCATATTATCCATTTTTATGTCAAATACTTCAATATCATCAGTTAAATTTTTTTTGGTGGTCATTTTCTATATGGTATTTTTCTGTAGTACCCCCTACAATTCTAATCCTGTTACCAGTACTATTAAATTTTTTGTAAGTAATTTTCTGAGCATCAGGATGGGGAATGCCTTCGTGGCTGTAACTCTGAGATGTCAAACTTCGGATGGAGCACAGCATTAGTCCACATGCTTAGACGATCTCTGTGTGTCTGTATACGTGTAGGTGGCCTCGTTCATATTACTGGGTCTGATGTCCATGATGATACCTCAGTGCGCCGTGTTCGAAGGTTTGGTGGTGGTTTTCGTATTGATGGGTCTTTGTGACGGCTGTTTCATCACTATCATGGCCCCCATCGCCTTTGAGTTGGTAGGGCCCATGCAGGCGTCTCAAGCCATCGGCTACCTCCTCGGCCTCATGGCCATACCAATGACAGCGGGACCACCGATTGCAGGTGAGGTGCTTAAAAAAAACATCTGTTAGAGTAAATACTTTGCATTAAAACATTTACATTTGCTTGCATTGGAATGACTAATTTTTATTTGATAGAACTTTGAGCTTTTCCTTTAAATGCAATTTAACCTTTTAAAAAATTTTACTAAAAGTTATTTTATTTTATAATAACATATAATATATATATATATATATATATATATATATATATATATATATATATATATATATATATATATAATAGACATGTATATGGATTATTATATTGATAATGCATATACATGTGTATATATAAAACTTATGTTATGCTTATCTAAGCTTATGCATGTAAGCTATGTTATATATTACTTGAGAAGTAAATCTTACAATTTTCACACAAAAATGCACACACACACACACACACACACACACACACATATGGAATTTCTACTTGTACAGCCATATTTTTTTTAAACATTTTCTTTTAATTAATTTTTTTAACAAAAAAAATGTGTGCAAACACGCACATTTGTACTTGTAGATAAATATGTTGAAAACATGATTTAATCAGCCAGCATGCTGATCTTGGCCCCGTTCTCCAGATAAGACTCGCACACACACAACAGACTAAGTGTTTTTCCAGTTTCTGGGCCTGGTGGACAGGAATGAGACTTATTTTGGAGGGTAAATTCCAAGGTCTCCCTGTAAGCACATTTAGTTTGGACTGTTGACTTAAATGCTCTTGTTCAATGACGGTCTCCATATGTTTCCAGTTCCGCAGCCTCGTTTTGAAGAATTAGACCCACCAGAACATCTGCTCCATCTGTACTCCAATAAATAGACCTTATACTTTCAGGTCTCAAGGTTCATTTACAGAATACTGACGTTACTCATTTTGTCTCTCATAGTTGAGGTATACCTATGATGAAAATTACAGGCCTTTTTGAAGTTTTGAAGTGGGAGAACTTGCACAATTGGTGGCTGACTAAATACTTTTTTGCCCCACTGTGTATATATATATATATATATATATATATATACACACACTACCGGTCAAAACTATTTGTTTGTTTTTTACATGTTTCTTATGCTCATCAAGACTGCATTTATTTGATCAGAAATACAGGAAAAAACGTTATATTGTGAAATATTATTATGATGTAAAATAAAGTTTTTCTATTTTAATATACATTAAAATCTAATTAATTCCTGTGATGCAAAGCTGAATTTTCAGCATCATTCCTCCAGTCTTCAATGTCACATGATCCTTCAGAAATCATTCTAATATACTGATTTATTATCAGTGCTGGAAACTGTTGTGCTGCTTAATATTTTTTTAGAACCTGTGATATTTTTTTCAGGATTCTTTGATGAATAAAAAGTAAAAAAGAAAAGCATTTATTTAAAATAGAAATCTTTTCTAACAATATTCACTTCAGTTCAGTTCAAAAGTTTGGGGTCAGTACATTTTTATTCTTTCTTTTTTTTTAAAGAAATTCAAACTTTTATTCAGCAAGGGTGTGTTAAATTGTTAAGAAGTGATAGCAAAGATTTATATTGTTAGAAAAGATTTATATTTTGAATAAATGCTGTTCTTTTTAACTTTTTATTCATCAAAGAATCCTAAAAAAGTATTGCAGTTTCCAATAAAATATTTGGAAACACAACTGTTGCCAATATTGATTATTCTAATAATAAATCAGCATATTAGAGTGATATATTTCTTAAGGATCATGTGACACTTTATACTGGAGTAATGGCTGATGGAAATTCAGCTTTGCATCACAGAAATAAATTCTATTTTAAAGGATATTAAAATAGAAACCATTATTTTATATTGTAATAACATTTTGCAAGATTACTGTTTCTTTCTGTATTTTTGATCAAATAAATGCAGCCTTGATGAGCATGAGACTTCTTTAAAAAACATTACAAGTCTTACTGATCCCAAACTTTTGAACAGCAATAAACCAAAGACTTAAACTACTTCAGTCTGTGTGCATTGAATTGATTTTAGTTAGAATTTAATAATAGTTCACCCAAAAATTCACACTCATGTCATTTCAAATGACTTTCTTTTGTGGAACATAAAAGAGGGTATTTTAAAGACTGTTGGTAGCCGAGCTGTTTTGGTTAGACAAAAAATGCAAAATATAGTTTCATGCATGCTTAGAATTTTTTATGGCTTGTGATTTTCTCTTTTCTCTCGCAAAAAAGGTTAATTTTGGACCCTGACTGCGGACATCGAGGATAAGATTTCTGTCATCTATAGTATAGATGAAGGGTTACTCAAGCTTAATATTTGACGTCTGACATGAAAAACTGGCAAACCAGCTGAGTGTGTGACGTCTGTTGTTTCTCTGTCTTTCTGCAGGGATTCATCTCACCAGCACTGCTTGTGGCATGTGTACGTGAGTGTGTGTCAAGATGGTGTGTGATGTATTTCCTCTGTGCTTGGCTCTAATCAAAGTCGAGGTCTCAAGGCTTTCCCTCCTGCTTGTTTGCTGTTCTGGAGAGAAGGCGTGATCATCCATCAAGAGCCCAAATCCTCCTCCAGTGGCCCGCACTGCCGTTTTTACCGGCTCCCGAGTGATTGAACAACTTCCGCATGCAGATTTGGGCTGAAATCACCTCCTGCTTGCAATTCTCACGAGAAACTGAACGGTTAGCTCAGGTAGTGCAGGAGATGTCAGTTAAATTAGGACAGCAACCTTTATAAAGGAAACATTAATTTGATGTGAGAGAGTAGCATTTCCTGCACCGAGAAAAGTGCTGTTTTCATTTAGCTTTATAGTAGGGCTGCACGATTAATCGAATGCAATTGTCATGCGCATTTTGTTAGTAAAGCCGGTTCTGTAATCAGCAGGAAATCATCATCACATGATGGAGCAGAATTTACTACACATAGCCGTAGTTCACTGACAAGTTACGCAAAAAAAATCGCAGACGATTTTATTGTGCGATTATGAAATCGAAAAAATCATTCTATGATTATGACAGCTGTTTGCATAGCTTCTCAGTGAACTACGGCTCTGTGAAGTACATGCTGCTCCATCTGAAAGCATGTGAAAATACCACATTTAATAACATGATTTTACTCCAAACTCACTTCATAACGTCAGTCGAGTGTTTGAAATAAATCCTTCTGTGAGATGATGTGGCTTCTTACACAGAATAAGGCACGCAACATATTTCATAGTATTTAAGCAGTGATAAAGGCATTGCATTATAAATATACTTTATTTTAATGAAAATTATAATAATAAGAACTCAGATAAACCATATATTGCCGTAGTCGTGTGTTTATTAGTCACGTTGAATCAATGAAAGCAGTTGAATCTTCTGTTTATTCAGTTGCAGCAATAGGCATTTTCTGGGTTTCTTCTGCGAGGCGTATTTGGAGTTTCAGCGCAAGAGCGCCCTCTGGCCTTTGGATGGAGATTTACTGCGGATCACAGAACCGTGCTTCACTGAAAGATACGCATGACAATCGCAGCTTCTGTCGAATCGCGATCTTGATTCTATTTCGATTTATCGTGCAGCCCTACTTTATAGTTTATTGTCTAGATTATGCAAATCAGATTTGTAAGCTTTAGATGTTTTCATAATACGATTTTTAAAATAACCTCCATAGACTTGCTTGGAATTGATTTCGGAAACTTTTATGAGACAAATCCGTCTTTCTTAGTGTGCTTTCTGCTACCGACTTCAATAACCTCAGCCGTGATTTTCATATCATAACGTACCGCAGCTGTGTATCGCAGTGAATTATGTAGAAATGCAAACTAAACGAGGAATCATTTTATGAATTTTTTTAAGCTAATCCTCTGTCCTTAATGTTATCTGCTAAATTGAGTTCAGTAATCAGCTATGCAGTAAGGAGTTCACAAACTGTGCCATGACCATTGAGCCAGATGAAAACTAAAGGATCAATATTCATAAAGGGGGTGAATCTCGTGAAAAAAATGCCAAAAGAAAATAAATAGAAATTATATTTTGCATGAAGATTTTGTTTGAACAATTAAGCAATTAATTTCCACCAAATTTATATAATGCGAAAACAATCTTGTTCATCATCAAAATACTTTAATTAAAGAAATCAAATCTGAATACATACATCTGTATAAAATAAAACTTTATTGTAGATTATTGGAGTAGATTTACAAGAAAATATTTCAGTCATTGAAAGTCACATTTAATTTATTGTGTTGCTTGTTGCTTGTTTGCAATTATTTGTCAGCAATTTCTGAGTGAAATAGTTTTAAAGTAACTCATACACCAGTTTATTTCAATTCACCCTTTATGCAAAACATAATTTCTTATTTTTGGGGTAAAATATGACCCAGATATTTCTTAACAATTTTCCTGAGATCCATTCAAGGACAAAATCACTACATTTTCTAATTTTTAAAAATCTACATGTGTCTCTTTTCCACATTTGACTTCCGTTTATTGTATTTTTTTTTTAAGAAATTATATTTTGGTTATATGTGTTGTCTTGTTATATTGAAAAAAAAAACATCTGGCATTTGGATTCAAGTTGAATGGACTTAAGAAGACAATCAAAGTGCGATCTGAACTGAATGACAACACCATAAAAATGTCACATCTGTGATTCTGTTTAAGAATGGAAAGAACTGATTGCTGTAAGCAAAACAACATAGTAGTATTACACAAAGTGGGCCATGTTTATGAATATTAATCAAATACTATGTGACATTTGAAGCTGTGTTTATTCTTTTTGTATCGGTAGATTACATTAACATGTCTCATGTGTTTAGTGAGAGCAGCTTTTCCTCAGTCTCTTCCAAACACTAATGAGCTGAAACAATTCAGCCAAGAGAAATATTGATTAACATTCAAAAATAATTCAATTTGATTAAAAATAGACCATTTTAGCCTACATTTGTGTGTGCATGCTTATTAGAGTATCACGTCGCTGGCTTAGCAACATGCTGACATCTAACTGTTGAAATCGATCGTGAGGTTAGGATGCTGATTTAGGCCATAGGCATCAAGGCAGCTCACTAGTATTTGGAACAGAGCTGTAGTTTCTCTCTGCACTTTCATCCGTCTATTTGTCAACTATTTCCCTGAAGCCCTTTAACCACCAGTTTCTGTCCGTGTTGTCATGGAGATCTGTCCATATGAGCTAATTAACATTGTTTCGGGTACATTTTCCTCAGAACTCATTAGATGCCCTGTTTAAAAAACAAAAAATGGTCACGATCTTAACCAAACTGCCTCAACCGACCCCGTCCTGCAGGTTTAACCAGGAGACGGCGCTTTTACACAAAAGCAACTAGACCACAAGACACCTCTTCAGATTCTAGTACTATGTGATGGTGTTATGTGGTGACTAAAGATGCTTGTTTTAGATGAATTGATGTCTTTATTGGAAAAAGATACCTCAGACGTCTGTTTTATGGTTTCATACTGATAAGTGTTAGACCCTGGTGCACTTTGTTGTATTGATTTGCCTCCTAAAGTGGTTTGTGCAGATTCATGGATCCTGTCATTTATGTCTCTCTGATCAGCATGTGATTATTGGTGCTCATATAGCAGGCCCTGCAAATGAATCCTTATCCAATCGATCATCCTTCCTTAGAGTTTTGGTCGTGCCATTTGTGACTGGTAGCTCTGTTTTTATATGTGTGAGGGACAAAGAATGAGAGAGACAGAGACATTCAGACTTTTAGAAACTCAGGGAGTGCAGACGTTTTTCATATTTCATCAGCTGCCAGTGTATTATTGCACGCATTCATAAATCTGTTATGTACCACATATTTTATTGATAAAGGCATTTGGAGTCTGAATAGGTGAATTGGGTAAATCTCAAGAAAAAAAATATGTAGGTCATATATACAGGGTGCGATTTGTGAAAAAAGCAGGGGGGGGGGGGATTTTGAAAACTTTTTTTCAGAGAAAGGCTTTAAAGTAACCTAATGTTAGTGTAATCTGTTAAAGCACATCATAAACCCGTCTTTTTAAGTACCTGATGTGTCATGTTACAAAATGTTTTTAATACGACTGAAACTGTAGGCTGTATTTAACGTGATCACAATTTAATAAAAACATTAGGCCGATTAATTATTTAATTTCAACGGTTATCCAAACAACGAATAAATTATATAGGAAAGTGAGCAAAGAACATTTACAGTATCAACGAAGCTTTTTGAAACTCCGAATCAGTTAAACCATTGCGTCGCAAAATGATTCACTGTTTCGAAGCGCTCCAATCGGATCGCGTATCGGGACTTCAAAGCGTGTATCGGGAATCATTTGATTCAGATCGGGACTTCAAAGCGTGTATCGGGAATCATTTGATTCAGATCGGGACTTCAAAGCGTGTATCGGGAATCATTTGATTCAGATCGGGACTTCAAAGCGTGTATCGGGAATCATTTGATTCAGATCGGGACTTCAAAGCACGTATCGCGAATCATTTGATTCAGATCGGGACTTCAAAGCGCGTATCGCAAATCATTTGATTCAGATCGGGACTTCAAAGCGCGTATAGCGAATCATTTGATTCAGATCTGTTCAGAGCTGTTCGCGGGATGTTTTTATCCCCACCGGAGATAAAAAAAAATTCAGCAGAGGCAGGGATGAGTAGACCAGAGTGGGGGAACCAATCGCACCCTGTATTGGCGCATTGTGTAACCAACGTTTCTTCCACATGTCTAAGGCACATAAGCATCGCCGCGTTACCTTGATCATGCAAAGCGGATTCCCCCTCGGGGAAAATCCTTTGGTTCTGAGCCACCACTGCAAGGGTCTCATGTACAGCATATATATATATGCGCATTGTGATATAGTCAAAAACATTCAAATCTATTAAAATCTGCATAAAGGCAGTGAATATCATAACTATGACTATCATGTTTTTCACATTACATTAATGTACTATTATTATTACTGTAATGCAAAAAAAACAGACTTTTTTGGATTACAGTAATAATAATTGTGCGGGAAAATGCTTAATTTATGGAAATGTCATAATGTCAAAATAATTGAGTGAAATTCATGCTTTTTCAGATGCTCTTGTTTTCATAGATACAGACTCCTGCAGTCTGACTCACGCCGCTTATGTCTTCCATAAATCATTTTGTCCAGTTTCAGCCAAACTTGTATGTAGGGACCGTGGCTTGTCTGTCTGTCTCGCTCATCTTTAATTCTGGTTTTGTTTTTAATGATTAAACATCAGTGCAAAAGTCACTCTGAATATGTAACTTGACTTTGCATTTTACTGTTTTGGCTTAAATTGACAACTCTTTTTATTTTACTTTTAACCTTGCCCGACCACTCAGCTTCTTTCCAATGTGTTTCAATGACTAACCTCACTTCATGAGTAAAAAACAATTTCACAATGACCATTTTCCTACTAAAATAATGAATTTACTTTTTTCTTACCT